CCCAGATATGCACCTCTTTACGGGATAAACATTTGCCAGCATAAATAGGAAGCACTTTCTAATAAATGTCCTCTGCAGGCAGACTTTTTGCAAGAAAAAAAGCCGCACAGAGCACCTTGTTCCTTGAGGGTATACACCGTAACTACAGTCGCCATTTTGTTTCTGTGTTGCGAATGCGCATGCAACACCTAACGCCACCTGAACGAAGACATAAAGTTCGATTTTGCTGTCACATAACGACACCTTTGAAAACAACCAACTACATCTTCCTGCCACCACATAACTATTTGTGATTTACTTATTGACGTCTCCTGGTATACGGCTGTGAGTCCCGCACAATTATTAAAGCCTGTATAATAACATGCGGTCTCAGAGATTTGGTTTTACAGATGAATGCTTAAATTTTCACGAACACGCGAACTCAACAGCACATTTGTTTTGGAATAGGAAAAAGCACAACGACATCTCATGACTAGAAAGTAATTGACAAGCACCCGGGTGATTCTCATCCTAATGGTGTCACTTTGTGTTACCAGGTGCTTATCGCTCGGTGTGATGTCCCAGTTGGGTTGAACGTCAGTCAATCAAAAATATTTTTAAAGCAATAAAGAGACATTTATCGGTGTTTGGTCACGTCTGGAAAAGGCAGAAACTAAAAATTTATATGACAAACAAATAAGATTAAGACTAAATGAGAAGATTTCTAGTTTGTCAAACTGTTTCATGTGACATCTAATCTGAAAATATGGTAGGACAAACACCCTGACTACAAACCCTTCCTCCCCCGACACACACAAACACACACACACAGAGAACACACACACACACACACACTCACAAGAACAGCAAGAAACACTTAGGCTAACAATTGAAAAGAACTTGGAGAAAAACATCCACAAAAATCAGTTTACAACATAACATCAAAGAAACATTCACTAACATCGGGTAATTTAGTTTCCAAATAATAATGTGATGGTTTGCACAGGTTTATCTTGAGGGTATCCCCTACTGTTGATCTGATGTTGGAAAGGTATTAAGTCTTGAGGATATCTTCTATTGTTGATCTGATGTTGATGATTCAGGAGACGACCATGAATCTTCAACACTTAAGAAGTTCAGGTCAAAAGAGGTGTCACGAAACATTAACACTCTACAGGTAGTCAAAGCAGAATAGTAAACCATCACAGAACTGGTGTTATCAGTGGCCACACGCAGAGAGATATACTGAAGACGGGATCCGAGCGCTTATGGACTTGTCAGATGTGCATTGAAGATCACCTGTCAATTAACTAACTTAAGTATATATAGTTTTACCACTACTCCTTTGGAGTTAATAAATGTGACCTACAGAAGACTGCCTCTCGCAATTGTTCTTTTATAGGACATTTGCTTATTAATCAGACCGGGTTAGGTTAACATTAATCTCCCCAAATAGAGTAGGTCACTTTTCACTCACAGGTTTGTTGGGCTGGTAGACTGAAATTTACGATTATATCCCGCTCTGTTGTTTGCTTTTTGCGATGTCTTGCATTTACGTTTTTATTCAGAGAAAGAGAATGTCTTTGACATAAGCTGCAGTACTCTCTATGGGAGGAGGAGTGTTAGGTTGGGACAGGTTTTTCCATGTGTTTGGAGTGTTAAAAGCGCTGCCGTGCTTAAATATACAACACGCGATATCATCGGCATTGCGGAACACCCCTGTAACCTTGTGCCAAGATGACATGTTCAGGAACTACCAATCAAAAGTGAGCTAGTGTGTATATGGGTCGGGCATGGGGAGACCAACGTTACTTTCACCTCAGACCGTATACTCATTCTAATTTCGTTAACTATTTGGTTAATCGTCATTTTGCACATAAGAAAAATTATACATAAACATTCAAAGCCGAGAGATGACAGTTTGGTGGAAAATTGTATTATGTTTGTTCCATGGATAATACGTCAGTCGCGATCTTCTGTACAGAGCTACATTTGGAAACTCTTCATCTCTGGATCGTTGATGGTCAAAGACTGTATGAAGTCTGTAATCCCCGATGTTGTCCAAATGGTTCTCAAGATGCAGCCAGGATCTAAATATGACTATAAACAAACAAGTGCAATGAATTATATTAAAGGTCCTACTATATAAAACAAATGTTGGAGATGCGTATGTATTCTTCCTTCTTCAAGTAGAGGGTCAGAGTTCGGACATTATGAATCTATGATGGTCTCTGTCAGCTGACATTCCGGAGATATGACTTATGCACTTATGTGTTGTTCTAAGCATTTCAATATTTCATACTCACTTCACAATCATTTAGGATTGGGGTTTCTTAGCAACAGAAAATGGTCGGCGTTTGGTGCAGGAAAGCCAAGCATATAATACCACAACATCCAGCTGAAGTATGGAGATGGAGGCGGTCACTGCAGCTTTCCGCTGGCTAGGGAAGACAACAAACAAACACATCGTGATTGAAACTGACTAAGAAAGCATGCTGAGGAGGATCAGGACAGGGAGGCTTTTTGCAGAGTGAAATGTTTCACTGCGGAGGAGTATTGTCTGGATTTTTACACAGGGATACGCCAGTGTGCTGGGAAATGAACAGGCGGACAGACTGGCTGGCTCTGCACAACTTGTTGGAATACTGATGCATGATACGGCAGACGTGGTTAGTACCTTGTGGGAGAGTGTGTAAGCTCAGAGGAGCAGATGGATCACCGCAGTTTAGTGAGACTGATGCAAGGAGAAGTGACGAGAGGTTCTGACAGATGCTCCCGGCTCAGAGGAAAGGCAGGACGGACATTTAATCAAAATGCTTCTGGCAAAATTTGTGTCGGAAATCTTTGGTAGTTGCTGAAGATGGAGACTGAGCGTTTATGGGAATGCCCCGAGTGCTGTGATGTCGGTTCTTGAATCAACTCAACCCAACACATTAATGATGCAAAAAAGCGGACAATGAATAAGAAGCAACCCTGAAATTTATAATCTGTTTAATTTAAAACTCCATTTATCACGGGCATCACGAAGACTAATTGACTGAAATGGCTGGGAGAACTGCAAAGGACAGTCAATCATAAACTGTACACACAAGGGCGATAAGTGATTGTAGGCCATGAGGCAGACAAGGAAGACGGTTAAGAGATAATATACAAGCAGACCTGCAAGCACTTGGAGTCATCAAGTGGAAAGAGAAGGCAAATCACAGATACGAATGTAGACAGTTGATATCTGTAGCAGTGAACCTCAAGTACTCGAAATGGTGAAGAAAAAGAAGAAGAAAAAATGCAGCAACAGAGATTGAAGAAACGCAGCACAGACTTCAAAAAATCTCTTCAAATCACCTCCAATAACGCGCATTAAGATCAGTAGACTGCAGTGGTGGTAGAATACAGAGAGAATTGCAATCAAGAGACGGAAGAAACTGTCTAGTCCTTTCAACAAGATAAGTGAGCGATGATTTACACTCATTCAAGCGAACACTTGAAGTCACCAATTGGACAGAGAAGGTCAATCATATTGATGAATGAAGTTCTTGAATTTTGGATAACCGATACATATCATGGCAAACGGGTAGTAACTCATTAGTTCTACATTCTAATTCTAACTCAAGTCTAAGTCCGAAGAAGCTCAGCACAGTGCACAGGCTCTGTAGCACCGGCGTGGATCCTGGAATACTTTGGGTCGATATTTAACTCGAAATTCTGTCCTGGCAGCGCTGCTGTAAAAATTTACTTGTATGGCCAGTATATTGACATTCTTTCTCTATCGCTCTCTCTCTCTCTCTCTCTCTCTCTCTCTCTCTCTCTCTCTCTCTCTCTCTCTCTCTCTCTCTCTCTTCATCTCTCTCTCTCTCTCTCTCTTTTTTTTTTTTCTCTCTCTCTCTCTCACCAAAAAAAAAAATAACGCACTAAACACCTGTATACGAATACACACACAAACACACACAATCACAGTTTAAATGAAAGATTGCTTGATATATCATTCGTAT